AAAGGCCAAGAGTGCAACTTCAACGAGGGCGATTTCGTGTTGTGGTCCAGGGTGGACACTCGCATGCGGGGTGGTAAAGTGTTAGTTCGTTGGGTAGGCCCGTTCCGCGTTGTCCGTGCTCTCTCGCATTCATTCATGATCGCCCACCTGCTCACGGGTGATGAGTACGAGGTACATGGCTCACGCCTCAAGCATTACTGCGACCCGGAACTAGGCAGTATCGCTGAAATTCGCGAGCACGTTGCCGTGCAGGGCATTGTGCTAGGCGTGCGGGACATCATTGGCCACCGTTATGACACGACTGCGAAGGAATGGCAGCTTCACGTTGCCTGGCGCGGCCTTAAGGACTCAGAGAATTCGTGGGAGCCATTTTTGGCAATGTATGCAGACATTCCAGTCCTGGTGACAACGTATGTTGAATCGGTGAACACTCCTGAGTTGACAGCGATGCTGTAACCATCAATTTCAACCTGGCCCTGTCACATGTCACATTTTTCACAAGTCATGGCGATATGGCTACTTTACGTTTTCCAGATTTTCCAGTTTTCTGACATTTTTTCAAGTTTTCCAGTTTTTTCATTTACCGCGGTCATCTTGGGGGCAGTGTAGTGCATGCAGCACCTGTACCAGATGACACAGCGGCAAAAGCAAGTCACAAGTCACCGTGTCACAAGTCACACCTGTCACCCCGTCCCAACAGCGACATCCATCCCAGCCGCCCCTGCAGCGCAAATCCCAGTCTCCAATCGACAGCGGCGGGAAGGAACGTGAGCCTCGAGTTGGGCTCGTGCTAGCGCGCGTGCTCGGCCCACACGGCCAAGCAACAGCCGAGCAACAAGACAGCAGAGGCCGAGAGGCACGCGCCGACAGGACAACAATGGACAGAGGCACGTGCTGGAAGGGAAGAGGCAGCGACTCAAGGGCGTCGAGTTTGGCGAGGGGTGTTGTAGTGATAGCGATGCAAATGAACCGACCGACTAACTCTGAATGAAACTTCACAATTTACCTTTTTGAGCTCACTTGCCATAGCGATGTAAAAGACGAAAGTGTCGGAACACTTGCTAGCTAAGGAGAGCGGTTTGGAATGTCTCGGCATTGGTTGAGCAGATACCTGGCTGCATGGCATTCGATAATGCAGATGCTGTAGATGATCCTTTGGAGCCCAATTCGCCCCATTGTGGATGGCTTCAAATCCGCCGCCTGCAAGTTATATATATATCCTGGTAGAGAGCTGTGTGTTAGCGAGAGTGTGATTGCCTGGAAAGCGAGAGAGGGAAAATATAGCCACGATGCTGTTTCCCACAAGACAAGAATTATTCGCAAGCCCAAAGGCTTACGTCAAAGCTTTAGTGGATGGTGATACTAGTATTGTGTTAAGGCTAGCAATAATGGATGGAGCATCCCGACAGAGGGCCAAGCAATTAACTGCAGAGTACGGCGAAGGGACAGCGATAATACTGAGACTATCGGAGCCATATCGTGGTAGCGGTCGCACAGTTGTTGCCAATAGTGCGCTTTCATCAGTGAATACATTGGAGCAGCTCGAATTGAGAATTGTTTTTTTATTATGGGCATTGTAAAGACCGCCACCGCTGAATATTCTATGAAGTACATACAATATTGGTTAGCAACAAAACCAGCTAGAGGGTCATGTAAGAGCGTTGTCCGAATAGAAAAAGTGATTAATTTTTCCCCGACAACTTTTTTTCTGCGAAGAAAAAAATGAGGCCAAATAAATCGTCGCATGTCCAAGTGAGAAATTGGCTCCGCCAAATTTATTCCACCAAACCTATTTAAATTCATACAATCATTTTGATAGGTTATTTCCCTTGCACTTCAATTCCGCACGCGCATTGCTGGGCCAGCTGGAGCACGCTATGTCTACGCAGGAGTGCAGCAACGCTTTGGCAAGTGAAGAGACCCCTCCAATTACAGGCTTATCTGAAAGACTCGTGGTGATCCGTAAAAAGGAAATGGATCCAGTGCTGTGGTCTGAAGCCTCCGGGGAAGACTCTCAGCAATCGTCAAGCGAAGCTACTGAAGCCCCACCGACAAAGAAAGCTCGACTGGCCTCCGATCAAGTTAACGTGAGAGCATCACGTACGAGCATCCCGACCAAGAAGAAGGCTGTTTCCAAGAAGAAGACCGCCCACAAGAAGACGAAGAAGGCAGATCCCAAGAAGAGCGCTCCTGCTAAGAAGACATCTGCTCCGAAGAAATCTAAGACCTCAGCCCCACCGATGCGCTGGACGGTCGCGCTGACAGCGCTAGCAATCGAGACTCGCTACAAAAACCCGCGTGTGCTGAAGAAACTTGCAGTGTCGACAGCAGACACGAAGATGATGCGTGCAAAGTGGGAAGCCACGGTCCACACATTTTAGGTCAACGAAATGGTCTCCTTCCTCGTCGTCCATGCCATCAGCAGCTTCATCAAGATGTGTCATTCCAGCGTAGCGAGAGGCACTGTAGTCTGCGAGTTGGCTCCGTGTTGATGAGCTACTCGACAATCTTCTCTCGCCACCACCTTCTATGCTGATCGAAAGTGGTCTGTCTTCCTTGTCGGAATCCGTACACCCCTGGACAGCCCCTAGTTCCCTTGCCAGCGTCGTATTTGCTTCATAATTGCTGTTTTCTAACACAATGACGGCATCATCCCAGTTAAAGCAAGCATCAAGTAGGATCATGACGATTAGACGCACCAGAGTCAATGGCCATCGGCATCACACCCTTCGCGACGCTCTCCGTGACGCCCTCCGCGACGCTTGTGTGTAAATGCACGCTTTGCTCCGCGCAGAAAGCTTCCTCCATTCCGCACTCGACTCGCCACTTCAACACTAAAAAACTAAACGCGACTCGAAAGAAATAGGTGGCGAGCCTCTTTCTTTTTACCGCTTTAAAATGAAGCGTCTGTGGCACCTCGTTTTTCTTAGCGCTACTTCACAAAAAAATAGGTGAGAAAAATAGATCACTTTTCTATTTGGACAGCGCTCTAAGGTGCTATCGAGTACTACGAACATGGGAACACCAATGCACGATGCGTGCTGGGCAAGGCCAACACGATAATATTCAATTGTGGTAACGCATTGTCAAGTACCAATTCAATACGCCCTCGCCATCGGCTTGTGGAACGTGATGACATCGTTAAAACACTACGCTACGAAAACCAAATTGAGCGATTGCAAATGATTGGATTGTTCTTTTCAAACTTCGTGAGCATGGTCATTTACACCAAGGCAGCCTTGCGCTAGAAAGAGAATGGCTAACACTACATTGGAGCCACAGACGGCTCAGCACACTGCTAGGGATAACCGTAGTTGACGCGTACAAGGCTTACTGCCATGAGACTGCAGACAGTAGCCACCAAGACAATCCGGTCATCAAATTTCAAGGAATCGTATAGCAACTTGCCCACCAGCTCATTTTCAGTAGCTTCCTTTCCTCCAGACAAACTCGCACACTTGTAGGAAGTACGGTAGAGCAGAGTGAGGTAGACACGCCGTATCGCATTGACGAATTCATCGATTTACCTCAGTACGCCTCAATTAGGTCTAATGTTTATCGAGCTAGACGCAACTACGGAGTATGCAAACGGAAAGCATCGTTCTACTGCGTAGAGCTCAGACCCTCATCAGAATCTGTTCTTTGGGATATGTGCAAGCGAGAATGTCTTGCAAATAATCTTGCATCTGCTTCAATTTGGCTTTTCTATTGCATAGCATTTGCGTTTTAATTCAAAGTTTTAAACTAAGTTAAAGGTGCACAATCATACATCCTTTTATCATGCCTCCCCATATGATTTCCGCCTGATGTGAAAAGAATAAATACATATAATATGTTGTCTATGTTGTTGAGCTAAGAAGGGCAATGGCGAAGATTAGGACAAACAGGGTAGCAAAAGTGGATGAAAAAATGGAAGATGAATCCCGCTTGATGCGTTCCAGTTTCGGATGCTGCTTCGTCCCATCTAGACAGCGATTATCCCGTTGGTTTCAGCGAATGCGGACTCTATTTAGAATGACCGATTTCCCTGTCCAAGCACTAAAATCAGTACCTCGATCTAATTGATATCGGCAAGTTGCTTACGATTCTATTTCCTGAGATCCACAAGTGGGAAGGAAGTTTTGATTGTAAGTGCTACTAATGCTGTCATTCGTTTGCAGCCTAACAGACTTGTGTAGTGCCTTTTAAAAGCCGTGCAAATGACGTCTTGTCTTGGCTGAAGATCTGGGTTTCTGTGGATTTCATAGTGACCAATCCACACTACATTAAATGTAACACACTGCAAAATGACTTCTTAGATGCAACGTATCGCATGGATTACCTCGCCCGAAGGATTTATTGACCTTACCATAGAGGTCGGGGACGGCGAAGACTGTGAGGACTATGATTATATCGACTAGGTTAGAGTGGGGTTGGGCCAAGAAATAACCAGATTAATTTCGGCAGATCGAATGATGTTTTGGGAGAATATGGGTTTCTTAGAGGTTTCGAGGGTAACGCCACGCATTTCAATATGGTCGATCCGTTTGTATCCAAGAAAAGGAGAAGGAGAAAAGTCAGGTCCGCAGCTAAACGTCGTAGAGCAAGATGGATTGAGAAACGAAAAAAGGTTCGAGAGATCGAGACAAAGAAGAGGGTGACATTAGCTGAACGACTCGAAAAGCTGGAATCGTAACAGAAAGGGATTAAATTGAAGAAGCAACTTAAAGATTTCTCCTATCGTCGTTTTAAGGATAACAGCTTTTATTTTAATAAAATAAAATAAGCTTTATTTTTACATTGTAACTTTTGAGCAAATGAGATCTCTTATAATATTATTTTCTGATACGGTATTATCAATTCCTTTGTGAATTGTGCTTTTCGATGCAAAAGCTGTGCATTATAAAATCTTATCATTTCTATATCCAGATGATTTGAAATGGCCATTTAAAAAAGCGCAAAATCAACGCTGGAAAGAACGCAGAAAAAGGTATCAAAAAATATCTGATCATTTGCGAGTGCGCGTCATGTTCCTGGCGTTCAAGAACCTCTCGACACGGCAAAGGTCCGTTCGTCCTCCAGCGCTGCTCATTTGAATCGGTTGCTCACTCTTGATCGTCACTTTATTCAGCGCCGGATACGCCGTGGTGTGCGTGGCGCTGGGGCTCGGCATCAAGTACATGGACGACCACATGCCCCAACGAGACCTGACCAAGGCGCAGGGCGACGGACTGGTGAGTACATCTGAGCAGAACACTTCCAGGAATAAATCAAGTTGACCCATTCGATGCTGCAGGCCTGGAGCGATTTGGACAAGCAGCCAGATGCCACGAAGAGGAGGAGCTAATCGCCAATCTCGTGAGCTGCCTTAGAGAGTGGTGGGTCGTTGCTGTGTGGACATTGCGATGTTTGTTTGCCGCCTCTTCAACTGCGGCCTCCGAGGGCGGCTTGCTGTAAGCTCGATCGGTTTGCTGTGAGCCTTTTAATAGAGCGCTAAGCTTGGTTTGTAGAGGACACGAAAGCCAAAATACACTTGTACGTGCCTGCATGTCTCTTTTCTCTTGCTCTGATCATGATCTGATTTGTCTCTTGGTCCTCCGTTGCCTTCGGTGGCAACTTACCACCGAAGGCGACGGAGGACCAAGAGACAAATGGCAAGCATCGCTCCACGCCATTTACCAGAGGTCAACTCGGTACTTAAGTAGTCGCGAGAGGAACTACCCGTCAAACATGCACTCTGCTTGAGCTCTCGTACATGCGCTTGCCTGTTATGATATTCGTGGAGAACTGTAGTATTATACTTTGCACTTGAAGTAAAAAACTATTGGTGGATCGAGTCTGCTGTTATAAAAAAATATTCCCTTGCCAACCAGATGACCCAATTTCTGTGGCCGCGAGATGTCTGCTATACACCATTTACCGAAAGAGACGAGCGAGCGCTTGGAGCATGCCACGAGCCGATTTCACGAACAGCGCACCGAAAGCTGCATTCCAGCCACAGCCAACACAAAATACATAAATGTTAGCGACAAGTACTCGCCTCGTTATCTCACCTGCCAGTCTTTCACCTTTCAAACTAGAGTTGCCACCAGGAAATGCCGACAGCGCGAAGGATCCGAGCGTCATCAACTGCATCACGGAGCTCAGCACCACGAACACGTAGTTCCCCAGAATGAGACAGCTGTACAGCGTGCAGCCTCATACATCGAAATCCTCATTAGTCAAATAATAAATACTTCGAAATACCCCGCGTTCTTCTCTCTCACCAAGTGTCACGAAGTATGCGCTAGTCAGCAGGAGTCGATTCGGCTGCAGCAGACCTGAAATGTAGGCAGCCGGGCCCTTGAGCATGGCAAATGCACCCATACAGCACATGCTGCCAAGTGTAAAGCTCAGGGCGAACTTGGACGGCCGAACCATGATCTAAAAAGCAATGTAAATAAACATCAACAATAGTGCGCAAATATCTGTCCTGCCTCAAAAGTTCTACCGTACCAGTGGCAGGAAGATGGAAGCCATGCCGAAGAACAGCATACCCAGCATGGCCATGCCCACAAAGTACTTGAACCTCGTATTCCTGTACCCAGCAATTGGTACCATAAATTTAGTATCTCTGGTACAGTCCTCAAGATGCTTCTCACTCTGTGCTTACCAGCTCATTGTGGGGATAAGACCACCCTGGCTGCTCGAGTTCTTCCTCCATAGTGGCCACTTGGCGGCCGTCACATCGTCCACTCTGTCATCCATCTGTCCGCTTTCCAAGACGTCGACTGCGTCCTTGGTCACCGCGCTATTGGAGGTGGTTACCGCGTTCTTGGTCAGATCTCGCGCCGAGTCCCACATTTTCTGAAGCGAGAAGCTGGCAATGCCCCCCTCGCTGTCGGTGCTGGCAGTAGACGCCGTGGACAGTGGAGATGAGCGTAAGAGACTGTTAAAAGCGTCTTGAGCGCCCTGTAGCCCGCCACTCGCGGGCTTCTTGCCGCCCCATTGTTCCCACGCGCTCATTGTTCGGGCCTGCAGAAATTCTATGAATGAAGACGACGGCACTGGCTATGTGGAAGGTACAGTGTACCATTTTAAGGGTGGACCATTGGTGTGGAAAACACGATTTAGCGTCACCAACAAGATGTTTTCGGAAAATGGCAACTTCATGACTTCTGTGACATGTGAAAAAAAAAACTTTAGAAACTGCAGATCAGTAGAAAGACAAGAATCGTTCCTTATCTCGACGAGGTCACACTCTTAAATACAGTGCAAAGCAAGGTGCTCTACCGGCGATCAAGCACTCTCAAAGGTGCTGAGGGTCAATGTCGAGCTGGAAAACGAGTTGCTCGTGGTCAGGTTGTCGAAACTTGAAGTGATAAAGCCTCTTAGATAGAGTACGTCGTCTAGGACAGCAAGCGCACGCGGCCCATGGAGACGCGACCCGCACTGGCGCCTCCTGTTGAGCTGGTGGAGTTGCGCATGGCAGTCGAGATGGCGTCCGAACGCGGCAACGAGTTTGAGGCGATATACGACTCGGCTAACGTCGTTTCCTCGTCGCAACTGAAGGCAAATCCCGTGTTGCGGCGGCCTGTCGTCCCGCGAAACATCTTGGTCGGGACCCGCTCCCACGTCGCGTCCTCCGAGATGGACTCGCTAAACACACTAGCCGAGTAGCTATCGGTAACACCCGAACTAGTCGACTGAGGCGCCGATGTGCCGACGTTTGACGCGCTCTTCTTCGGCTGCTGTTCGTACAGTGTCGCCGCGAAGCTTTGCGGGTGTTGCGCCTTGAGAATCTCCGCGTCGGAGTGGCCAAAGTCGCTCAGATACCCGGTGGTGTGGACATCGTCCAATGACATGGACAGGGTCTGTTCCTCCATGTGGTTAATTGTCAGACGTCGCTGATATTTGCGTTGCGAGCCTCCACCCATCGATTCTTGCAACAGTTGCGCCAGATCCGGATGGAATGTCCGTTGGTACAAATTGTACGCAACATGTCGTCCGAGTGCCAGCGAGCAGCCCATGATGAGCACCAGAAAGTAGCCCCACGTCTTAGCTGTGGGGGCGAAGGCACCGAACTCGTCGTATCCGATCTTAAATGTGGCAAAGTAGGGCGTCTCTGTACCTATCGCAGCGAAGCCGAACCACGACATAACACTGCCGAACCAGAGCGAGAACGACAGCAGCGTCCACCGGTCGGCGATCATCCAGATCTTGATGTTCACAATGAGAACCGTCAGCGAGAACGCGACCATCCCGAACTCCACACGCGACTCGCTGCCTGCCGATTTCTCCGATGCGTTGAAGCCGTACGACATGACCACAAATATGATCAAAGACTCGTAGAATGCAGCGGCGATCCAGCGGCAGAACGTGTACATGTTGAAGAAGAAGCGGTCCGGCCCACGACGGTACAAGTCTGGGTACTCGATACTGAACGGGGCAGGTAGATCCTTGTCCAGAACACCCACCACCACGATTGGTAGGCCCGTGAAGGCGACGTTGTATAGCTGGACGCCGATCTCCCAGTACATTTTCGAGCCTGACGCTCCCGAGAGATACCCGTACCAGTATTGCGCCAGTACCAGTGTAATGTTCTTGTAGAACATGTAGAGCACCAGTTTGGAGATACGAATGTAGTTCCAACGTCCGTGAACCAACAACAAGCGTTCCAAGAAGCGGAACTGGGCGATAGCGTAATCACTCGAGTTCACAGCCTGCATTCCTTCCTGTCCAGAGATGCCTACGCCCACATGAGCAGCTTGGATCATCGCCACGTCATTGGCGCCGTCACCAATTGCCAGAGTTCGGACCGTCGTGATATTATCTCGCACCAGCTTGACCATCTCTGCCTTCTGCGCAGGAGACACTCGGTTGCAGATCACTGCACGACACAGCTTGGCAAACGACAGCAAGTGCGGTGCCGTTCCTGGTCGCAGAGCCATCTCCAGCGCTTCGCCGTCGATAACCAGCGAGATTTCCTTCTCACTGCCGCCTGCCATGCCCTTGGCACCGTCCAGGAACTCCCTGGCTGCAGCATTCAGCTTGGCACGGATCGCTGCCTCATCTGGACACGTTGTGGCGTTCACTATGACCTGCTGGATCGAGTTGTCGAGCAGAGAACAGGCGTACGAGATGTTGATCGCCGTCTCTTCCTTGTCGCCTGTGAGCATCCACACTTTGATCCCTGCTCGCGTCAAGTTGGCCAGACACTGCGGCACTCCGTCTTGGAGCTTGTCTTCGATAGCTGTGGCGCCGATGAGCTCTAAACCCTCCTCAATCTCCTCCATCAGAGCGTCGATAGCGTTCGGTTTGCCGTCTTTGCGTCGGTCGATCTCTGCCACGTTGCCCTGAGCGTCGTCGAAGCGCATCTTCCACTGCTGGAACCAGCGCTCGTCCAGCTTCTTGACTGCAAGCGCCAATGTCCGCAAGCCGTCGTCTGCGTATTTCTCCATGTGGTCTCGCGTGATGTTCTTGAGCTTGAGCATCGCCGGGTCGTCTTTCAAGCGCTGGTAGATCATCATGTCGGCCCCTTTCGTGTACAGCAGCAGCTCTCCGCTTGGTTTACGCACCACGACAGACATTCGCTTACGCGTACTGTTAAACTCGAGCACATCCAGCACTTCATAGGTCACGCGTTGGCCCAGCACGTCCACCAGCGCTGTCCCCACACGGCGACTCTCGAACTTGAACCCTGCAAAGGCAGCTCCAGCCACGAGAGCCTGTTCGTCAGGAGACGACGCTGACAGGCGCACTTCGCCCGACTCGAGCTTCTCTGGGATGACCGTGTGGCACACTGCGAGATGCTCAAAGAACTGCATTATCTTCTCCTTCTGCTCTTCGCCCGCACTGCCTTTCATGCTGTCGAACAGAGATTTGTCCACGAAATTCACGAACGGAATACTCTTGACACTCGGGTCCAGTTTGGGCTCGGGAGGGATCGGCTTCCCGGCTCGAACGAGTGCAGCGCGTCCGATTTCTGTGATACCGGAGCCGTACGAGGTGCCGTTGATGGAACACTTGCGGAACTCCATGACGTTGCACGTCAACGTGCCGGTTTTGTCACTGAAAACGTACGAGATCTGGCCCAACTCTTCGTTCAGCTCCATCGTGCGTACGATAGCTGGTGTGTCCGTTTCCGCGTGGTACATTTCGAGGTCCCACGACATGAAGCGCGACTGCAGGAACTTGACACTTGTCATGGACACATAGAGCGAGATGGGGATCACCTGATATAACAGCAAGAAATAGTAGAACAGCATCTGGATAAACGCCACGAGGCGCGTGCGGTTTCTCTCCGATTCGGAGAGCTGGATGTACCAGGCGTTGCGCACAATGTCGTACTGCCACGTGATGTAACAAGTTGCCGCCATGGCGCAGGCAACAAACAGCCCCAAGCACAAAATGACGATCATGCGGTTGATATTCAGCATCAAGTCGCTCCACTTGGACGGCGCGGCGCTGGCACTCTGCATGATCTTGGTATCGTTACCGGTATTGAGCACGAGGCAGAAGACCCAGTCCGTGTTACGTAAGTTACAGCCTCGTAACAAGACGTTCTTAACTGATAGCGGCATCACTTCCACGCCGCAGCCGTCGCCCACGGTGACTTCCACTTTGCCTGCGAACTTGTTGATGTGCGGGTTGGGCTGCTCGCACTTGATGACGCCGCGAAGAAGCGCCAGTTCCGCGGCGTTCGAGAGCGAGCTCATGGTCGCGGCCACCGCCTGACGCAGCTTGAGGTTCGTCTCGCCGTCCAAACTTTTGGTCTCGACGTAGCAAATCCCGCTGGGCGGCTCGCCCACGGGCTCCGCGACGGCGAGCACCAGCACGTCGGCCGGGATCACTTCTCGGTTGCGGATCTGTAAAAAGTCCCCGACTTTAATGTCCGCCCACTTCTTATCCACGACCTGTCCGTCCTGAATCACGTGGCATGTCGCGGAGTTGGCCTCGTTGTCCGATTGGTGACGTCGTAAATCCTCCATCACAGCGAACACGGCGTCGATCGAGATAACGAAGAACAAGACCGGCGCGTTGGTCGGGTAGCCGTACGTGTTACTGATACTGGGGATACTCTGCAGCACGCAGACCATTAGGAAGAAGAAGTTGGCCACCTTACTGAAGCTTTCTTTCAGAAACTTGGGCAGGAACGTGGCCACGTTGTACTTGGACGTCACTACGACGTTCGAGCACTTGTCGAATACAGCGTTGCCCGGGGCATAGTTAAAATAGACTTCTCGTAAGGTTTCGTCCGGGCCTGGCGCTCCTGCTGCTGCTCCTGGTTGACCACTTCCCGACGTAGACGCGGGAGTGTGCTGTGCTGCATAGTCCACGAGTTCGTCCTCGTCCAGAAGCTGCTCTTTTGTCTGTTTGCTCTTACGTCGTATCTGTCTAGGAGACTGGAGCAGTGCTGGACTGCCCAAGGTGTTGTAACCGCTGGTACTTGAGCCTAAAGCGTTGTCGCTTTGGTCCGAGAGCGCGGAATCGTCTCGAGCGGGCGCGACGCTGGAACACAGCGCCACCTGGTCCTCCACCCGCGAGCCGCGAAAGATGCGCGACGTGCTGCGCTTGGCAGCCATGAACGCGTCCTGTTCCTGAGGCTATAAAGCTATTCTATGCTGCTCCACGACAAGCCAAGCCACGGCGGTCTATTTGTGACGACGGAGTGCAAATGGGACCAGACTGCGGGAAGAGCGGCGCAAAATAGACTGCGCAGCACTGGACTGGCTAGTCTACCCCTATTTTTGACCGTTGAGCTGAGGGACATAAACCGATCATTTTGCGCTGAACGTGTGCTGCGATTGGCGGACGACGCTTGCTGAGACCTATACTTTTCAGTTCTTTGACACCTATGAAGTGTAGAAGGTGTCTCGTATTTAGAGGGCAGTTAACCTTAATGTGGAAAGGATGCTGGTAAATGTATGAAGTGTATTTATTTAGAAAGGCTAAATTGAAGGCATCGAGCGTTGAAGACAGGCCAGATGGCAACGCGCACGCCACGAAAAGCATGAGCCACCCCGCATTCGGTGTCGTGCTCATCGATTGTTACCTTGTTACACGTGTTTATCTGCAAATGAAGCGCAGAGGTTTGGCTGCGCTATTGTACATGTACGCGAGATGAAATGCACCATCATTTTTTTGTTTTGCCCATAAATACAAAAGTTATTATCGGATTAATGCCGAAAGACCCGCAATGGAAACAGGAAAGCAAAGAGATCACAGACAAACATATTTTGTTTAACTTTCTCGTCTTTTATTAATATGGTGGAAGCTCAAACGTATGCGGGGAATTGATGCTGATCATGCATGCACAGAACATTTCTCGCTATATTTAATAAACAAAGAAGCCTAAAGTGACAAGCTTTACGCCAGAATGCAGCTTGGAGGCAGCACATCAGCAGAGGTTAGTTTTAGTTACAGGAGCTGTGTAAGGAGTGCTCCATGTCGTGTTAAACTCATCGCCGACAACCCTTCTTCCTTGGACGAAATATGCAGTAGAAAGGGCATTGTTGATTGTAATACTAACGTTTGTATGTCCCAAAACATCTGATGCTGAACAAAGCCTCGAAAGACACGCACTTTTCGCTTTTTAATAAGTGTACTGTAGCATGCGAATTTGAACAGATATTCAAGCATGATTTCGACTACCGTACTTAAGAGAGGAAACCGTTATCTTTCCAACAACGTGAAGGGGCTAAGTTTGGTGGTGTGTCATACATTTTCTTGTCAAGTCTGCTGAAATTCCTAATTCAACCGACACATGGAAAGTTCGAACCTTCGTTTGTTGTTGTGAGGTGGCACATTAAAGAAATGAATTGGTAGCCAACCCTCTTCCTTAAAAATGACTTCAGACCATGTCCACGGCTTAGCATCAAATGCTTAAGTACTGCGGATAGGCTTTAGTTGCTAAAGGCCAGCGGCTTGTTGGGATGTGAAGGCGCGACACAGATCTGACATGCACGCACAAGTAGTATTGAGAAGACGTTTTGAGAGTCAACGCATTTTTGTTGCCATAGAGAGAACTAAAATACATGTAAACATCTTTGTCGTCGCACTAAAACACGGTTTTGACCTATGAGAAGTACGATATAATGATGAGGGCGACAACCATTGCATCTTTCAAGTGGGAGGAAGAGAACAAGTGAGGGGGGGGTACATTTCGAGGATGTGGCTTCTCATTTGTGCTAGAGCATTTGATAACGATATGCTTGGTACTGCTACAACGAAAACCTGGACACAGAGAATGCGGTCATCTTACTATGCGAAGCTCGCGGATCACTACGTGCATTCGCACAGTGACGGTAACTCTGGAGGTTACACTTGTCCATTGGCGCCACGACACCAATTCTTCTGAGTACTCTTCAAATTGTGTTTATTGTCACGTCTCCTGTCGAATCGTGTTTCTGTATTGTGCTTTCTACTCAAAACTTGACTGCCTGATTTATTAATCACCCGCGCTGAATGGCCTATGAAATCGTTCATCCTACCATACATCATACGGAAACATTACATGCGACAGGTTTCCACACACTGCATCGGCAACGTTTCCCGTGTCAGTAAGCGGTAATGGATCTCCGATCTAACGTCTCGTCTGGTAGCGCAAGAGGACCCCACCAGCGGGTGCTGCATCAGCTGATGGTGCACGCTGTGGTGGTCGAACACGTGTATCGCCACATTCGGCCCGTGTATCTCCATATCCTGAGCGTACTCGGACGCCAACGGAGACTACACCGCCCCACCCAGGTCCAATACGACGGCGTACACCTCCAGACCGAGAAGCACTGCCAGCGACCACGACTAGGGCATACTCAACCCCGGGTCCAGTGTCATCTGCAGCCCAACGAGCGTCACTTCTTGGAGCAGCAAGATCACCTGGTGAATCAGCTCAAGCTCGACCTTCTCCAGACCCTGGTACAGCTAGACAGCCGCGGACTCCACGTTCCACACGACGTCGAACATCACCCCGAGCTGCATCTCCTGTTGGTCAACCTGAGCAGCAGATACCAGCATCCCCAGCGGACGCTACTTCGCATCAATATCAGCTTGTGGTTCAGCCTAAGCTGAAGCTGGTGAGTTTTGACCAATCATATCTAAGTGTTGATTTTTCAGACTATCCGTCAATCACCCTCGGTATCCAATTTTCACTGGAATTGACAATATAAGACTACAATAGTAAAGCGTCAGCATTGCAACTTATTTGCTTCTTGCGGTTACGGCACATTTGGCTTCTTCATCTGGAATAACCTCGTGTACTTGTTCAGCATCTCATCCGATTTATCCGCGTACACCAAACGGGTGATGTCCCGCGGGCTCAAGTTCTCGTCGAGCCATTTAGTAAATAATAGTGATTCCAAACCTTGTGCTGAGGCTTCCGTCGCTGGATTTGTTTTGGAATCGACGAGCATTGTTACTATGGATGCATCGGCAAAATTGTTCCTGAGCGTATCCAGCAGAGTTGTGCTGTCGCGGGGGTGTCTATGGTTGAATTCATGAGTGTATCTGAGCCAGAACTTTAGAATCGGATCCGAAAGACCTGGAACGTTGGGATCCCAGTAACCTTTTTTAAGGCGCAGAACATTTTCAAACACGAAATCTGGAGTAAACTCTTTCGCTTCCCACTCTGCAAATACCCGATTCTTCAATGTTGTGGAGATGGCTTTCGTTCCATGGGCACTTAGTCCGGTCTCGAGAACTTCTGCCAGCTTCTCGTTGCTCCCAAGACCAATAGATAGTGCGCCGGTAAGCGTCATTCTATAGTCAGGGTTGCGTGCATTAAATTCATCCAGATACTTGAGCCAGAAAGTAAAGAGTGGATTCTTGAGAGCGTCATCGCTATTCAGCAGTAAGAAGTCGAAGACTTTCGGCGGGGAAATATTCTTGTGCGTCCAATCCCTCCACCTCTCAGTCTGTAATTGAAGCGCAAGTGCATTCGTATTTTCATTCCCCACGGCGGCATTAAGCATCAGTGAAAAGCGACGGTTACCGGATAGATCGTCTCCGTAATGAGAGGTAAACGCCGAGGCCGCCGACTTTGCTGCACGTGGGTACTTCCGATTAAAATCATTAACGTACGTAAGCCAATCCTTGAATTTGGGGGTTGCCAACAGGTTGCCGTCCAGTGATGGAACCAGTTTCATTTTGTTTAAAACATCGTCCGCTGGTCTTCCGTGGGTGAGCCAAAATTTTGTGGTCACAAATGAGTTGATCTTCTCTTTGACATTCACAAGACTAGGGATGGCGTCGATGAATTTCCCTCTCTCTTCACTGTCATGTATAGCGATACCGGATACTTGTACTTATTGGTATGGAAGAGGATGATATCTTCATAACAATATTTGTATAAGTACATGTATCAATAATAATAATAGTAATATAATAGATTCCACAACTGGGGTGCAATGACTCCGTAGTCTAAAGCGTAGTGAATGACAAAAACATGCAATTGTGTAGCATACTACAGTAGGACCAACACTTCGCGTATCCTTAGTACTTACTCACCTCATACAGTACCAATAACAAACTGTTTAAGACTAGGTTTCTCATGAATAGAAGGAGATAATATGAAAACCACCCTGATTTCCTGATGTCAGCACCACAAAACCGAGCAAGTCCCAGCACCACATCCACCACTCGTCCTTCCACGTCCGTTTATCTCCCTCGCCACAGAACCGTCACTGCCCTAGAACGACGCTGGCGACGCCGCCACCGGAGCGGCGCCGAGGGCACGCCACAGAAAGCTAGGAGTCATCGACGGCAGAGCGAGCACAAGCGCCGCTGAGGGCAGGGACAGCAGGGCGCGCATTTCTGCCAGGACACGAGAAGCTGGAAGCGCCACCAGTAGAAAAGAGTACCGCCAAGACCAGGCGGAGCTCGCTCCCAAAGCAGAAGCAGCCCTGGGGGCAAGGTGTGCATGATCGCCGCCGTAGGGTGAACACGATCACTGTAATCACCAAGAACATGAGAACCGCTGCCCCCTCACTGCAAGAAAGGTTGTGGCCGCCTGGATGCTGCTCCATGAGTCGCCTACTGCTGACAATGCCCAATTTTGCGCCTCAAGGTAATGGCACTGCATGGTTTCCTGAACCTTGAAACTAACTAACGATGCAGACATCTACTGTACTACCAGAGAAGCACTGTTCTTTGCTGGCCATTCGATAGGTTGGCTATTAGCAGCGAGGCGCCGGGTCTTGTTTGGCCTTCGGTAGTAGAGGGTCTCCCGTAGACCTGACGCGCTCATCCCTCTGTTCGATAGTATGAGCAGAAGGTGAGCGCATGTGGCAAACTTCTCGAAGTAATGGTACTCGCAGGTCCTTTCCGGCACGTCGACCGCTCAGCCAGATGCAGGCATCCCCTCCAGCTCTTTCTGAGCATCGCAGCTAGACATTTTAGCAGTGGTGAGAATGGCTTCGCTCCTGCAGCCGGTAGCTGGATCAAGTACACGTTCACAACGCGTGGATACGGCACGCAGAACATCCCCAGCGCCCGCTTCAAAGTCATCCTGAAGCAGATAAGCCATGCTGTTGCGAGGAGGGAGCGGAACGTAGAGCTTCCGCTCGCGCCTCAACTCGCGCATTCGTCG